TCAAAGATTCCGCGCTTTGCCGGGGGTCGAGATTAAAGACGTAGCCAGCGGCCAGAGTAACTCTTATTCACCGAGCGTTATTTCGTGCTCCTGAGTAACTAATTACTTATGAGCTATGACTTATGAATCCAACATGCCTGAGGCATGCTCCTCGGAATAATAAAACATTGATACACTTAATTCTACGAATATACGGGAAAGATTTAAAAAATCCTTTTCCTGCTATAAAGCGCACGTATAAAATAAATAGTACACATATCGCTAAAGTTTATCATTTATTTCACGTTAAAATAATTATTTTGAAGAATCACTCAAAAATTTTTATCAAACTCAAAGATAATTTTTTTTTCAAACTCCATACGTCACACTGACGATTTCATGAATCCTTCGCTGAAATGGACCACGGTTAGAATGGAGTCTACGAGAATAAAAGAGAAGAAGGGTCGTGCTGGAAAATGTGCGAAAAGAGGTAAAATACGTAACGCCATAAATTCCTGAGAATGGGCCGGAGTATAAAATATCGCGGTGGCTACGTTCTGCATATGTCATCCACATCCTCTTACTCTCTGCCTTCGGGTGGTGCGTCCATCCTTGCAGGTAGGGGTGCTCTGGGTTGCTCTGATTTCCTGGTTTCTCAATACGTTATACCCATCAGATACCAAAATCCACTTGGATTTGTGAGGTGGCTTCAGGGCGTGCCGAATGTTTTCTCATCGATTTAGAAATTACCTAATAACGCAAAGACACACTTCTCTCTCTCTCTCTCTCTCTCTCTCTCTCTCTCTCTCTCTCTCTCACCGCAAACCCCGCCCCATCTTCCTCATACAGTTATTCACGTACAGCCAAATAACTCACACCTCCCACAGACACTATAGCTATATCCCATACTCACACTATATTCAAAAGGCAGGACAAGATGTATACGTCATATCTCGACTGAAAATTTAGTTGAAAATACAAACACTAAAAACCATTAATACATTCTGAAAAATCCATTATTCGATATCAATAATCGATACAATACGTTATAAAATAAATAATGGCGGATACCTAAATTTTTACAACGTATAGAATAAATTTCTTATTTTTAATATATTTGAGAAAAAAAAAATATATCACTTTACTATAAATTAATAAAAAATTATACCCCTTAAATCTACCCCCTCCCTTTCCGCACTGTCGGATACTCCCTCCGTACGCGAAAGGGCCATTATTATTCCTCGAGTGAAAGTTTCGTAAAAAGCCCGCGAGGATCGCGTAAAGCGTCCATATGAGCGAGTCTTCCCCTGTTAAGCCGAAAGAGCTTGAAAAGCTCGAAAAGCCGTAGCCGGCGGTCGCGAGAGTGTCACGTTCCCATAGCAACTAGGGTGCGACTCCGCCTCTAGAGTCCTTGGCTCGATATCCTCACCCTCTGCTAGTACTACGACCACCCCAACCGACCCTCTCCCTCTCTCTCCCTCTCTCTCCTTCATCTGTCCTCCTCCTACCCTCTCCTCACTCTCGCCGTTCTCTCTATGATTCCCCTAGCCGCTATAAGGTACGTATAGGTACCAGCAGTCTCTCTCTCCGGCTGCCTAACCCTGGACTACCCCTTCGGTATCAATGCTCCACTTTTTTTTTCATCCCCTACCTAACCTTCTCGATGTTCACCGTGGTTCGTTGTTACGCTATTTTGAATTTCGAAAAATCCCCCCCAACCCCCCCCCCCCCCAT